GAATCCCATCCTCCGCCCCCTGCTCCCAGCTTCTACTTCTTCAACACGTCAAATGCATCATGCAGACGACGTGGGAACGGAGAGTATAATTAATCATTTCCCCACCCCCGAGAACAATGTACATAACTCATGGGTTAATTATCCATGGCATTGCAGCGGACTGACAGTTAATGACTGAAAATATATGGCTGTCTATCTAGAGGCAACATGGGCAATTTCACAGAACGTATACTAGCATTTTCATTACAATTTAAAATAACTTCATAGTTGACGTGGTTCAAAGGCTCTTTTAGACGCTGAGGTTTGTCATAAAAACAAATGGAGTGATCTGAATAACTAGAAGCTCTTAGTTACCCAAGGTAAAAAAAAACACAAAAAAGGTTATCTTAACTCTCATTTAATGATTGCCAACGCTCTGGAACAAGTTTTGCTTCCTCCTTTTTAGATACACTGGGAAAGGCTATTAACAAACCTATTCAAACCCGTCAATTATACTGTCAAACCAACAGAAACGGTCATTATTGGAGATCGTGCATTTTTTGAGAAACGCTGCAAGATTTACGAGGAGTACCTAAAGTCTGCAGATACAATAAAGTGAGTTGCAACTAAATGCTGTAATGAGCAAATTCTATTGTCTTGTTACCGTTCCCTTGTCCTTGCGTGGTAGTATAGTTTAAGATTTTACACTGTGCTTGCCTTGTTTTCTGGGAATTAACTTTTTTTATTTTAAAATATAATCGAGCTTTTACGAACATTCTCTCCTCATGATAGTTCAATGGGATTTGTAAGTTAAAGAGTTTAAAGTCATAAAAAAGTTCATGAAGGAGTGCAATTTGTAGTAGAGATATAGAGCACATGCTAATAAGTGTGGAATAACCAACTGCTGATAAAATAAATCAATACATCTAACAGTGCACCATTAACTTTGGGTAGTGTAAAAAGTCTACCGTAAAAGTAAACTTACCAGAAAATTGTGACCTTGCTGAACTAATATGTGCCCCGAACAGGTGCGTCAATCGCGTATATTTTACAAAACACCTATGTTTTTAAAATCAAACCAGTAGAAGATATCCACACAGCCGCTAAGCAAACCTTTGAGCGTGCTGGCTTAAACTAAAGCTGTATCAGCTCTTAGACAGGATTTAGGACAAATCTTCTTTGCAAATTATGCTGGATGCAGTCCACATTATTCCGAAATGTACATTTCGCAGAGAAAAAAAACGAACAATAAACAAACATGAATACCCAGGGAGAAAAGGTTTAATTGTTGTCATGACTGACTAGCTTATCTTGGATAGCCTGAAATTAGCGCGCCCGAAAAAAAGTCGGGATCTTCGTTTGGGTTGACCCTCTGCATGTATTTACCGGCTGTTTTATTCTCTGGATCTCTTATTGTGCTTGCAATGTTTATCAGCTACACCTTGTATAGGTCTGCCGAATTGCGCACTCTGATATACTAAACAATGATAGATTAAACAATGTAAGGTCTTTTGCGTGAGACCGTGTAATGATAAAAGGAGTTGCTCTGATTGGTTTGTCGGCCTATGAGCTTACTTTATTGCCCAATAGGAAGTACTGTAATATTTTCCTCGATCTGCAGGGTTTCTTTTCAATCTTTGTTCACCCTCCTCAACCGTTTCATCGACATTTTAAATTAAGTAAAACAATTACAAGTGGTTATGAGTTCTTTCCACCTGTTCATTTTTCTCGCGTCCAAAAGGCCTCTGGTTTCCCCACTCTCTTAATTCCGTTTTTACGCCGAACTTCGTATAAAAGATGGGCGGGAACTTTTTTTAGGCGGCTTCAGAAGAAGGTTCTACCCTGAAAACTATTGATAACTGGCTTAGTTTGAAGTGTCTTGAAGATTTTTTTCCATGCCAGCGCAAAAAACCATCGAGTACGCTTTAAGACATCGAAGAACCGGGATTATTTACATTTGGAAATAGAGAAGGAGAAGGCGTTTCGAACACCGGCTTTCGGGCTCTTGCTGGAGTCCATCCTCAGAGATAAAAGGCATCAACGAAAGACAAGTAACACTTATAGGGGGCAGGGGCCAATCAACCGTTATGTGGGAGCGACAGTCAACCACCAGTGCCATTAATCCTAAGATGCCTGCACAGGGCGATGTATGCCAGCGCCAGATCGATTGGCTGAGTTCTGATTCCGGTGATCGAAACGTCTTCTGCTTCTCTATTTGCACACATACCTGGGCTGCGAACCTTTGCCTTAACATTTGGAAATCTCGTGCTTATGTTTTTATTAGTAAACTGGAGAAGACCTTCATCTTGCTTAGTCCCTAAACTGCTCTTTTTCATATACGTATTTTGCAGAACACTCCACGACGCGGCAGTCTGGCGCATATTGTGGTCCACTAGCCCCTACATGCCAACCATCGTTCGCAAGAAATTTGAAATCTATGAACAGGCCAACACAGGCGAGGCTCTTTTGTCTGCCAATTTCCTTCAGCTAAATCTCATTCATGTGTTCATACTTATTTCTCCTTTGAATTGCCTCCCTCCCCCCCTTTTTCCAACGACATTGTTGGGCAGTGCATTTCAGGTTGTCCCATTTGCTGAACAATAGGAGTATTAGAGGATGTCTGGCTGTAATAAAAAATGAAAAGAGGGCACTTAAATTAATTAGAAGTTCCATTTCACTTGTGAAAGCAGCACCCTTCAAAGGTAACTTCTGCTTTGATAGTCAGTATTACATGAAGTTGTCCAGTAAAATGTCCATTGTTTTCTGATGCGTAAAAGACAAATACACGTTTCAATATCTTCAATGAACTACCTTACAGACACTGCAGTACGGGAAGAGGAATAAGGTGACACGGAAAATTTTCTTTAATATTATTGTCTGTCCCACTGAAATAATTATTGTAAGAAACAGGATCAAAGCAAATCCTATTAAAGAGCATAACCTTACTGCACATCATTGAAAGATTTTGAAACCGGGTCGCTTGGTCACGAATTCCCGCTAGGAGTCATTCAGGTGTTTTGGTGAGATCCGAGGTGTATTTTTTAAGTCGGACTGGCAGTTCTCACACAAAATTTGATAAACTTTAAAAACCACTGCATAGTGCCTAGGCAACTTGATTCTCGTAAAGGGGTCTCTATGTTTATTATTCAAAAATTACAATCCGAAGGGAATATAATCATTTTTCTTAACAATTTTCTAAGAATTTTGAGCCCCCATTTAACGAAAATTCGAAGCAGCTACCAGAAGGTAGTGCTAGTCTGTATTATGCAAAAGATCCAGAAAAATGTATAAAGCGTGCACGCCTGTCCGCAAAATATGTCTCGATGTGCAGACGACAGACGTCTTAGTCATTCCCCAAATGCGCATGCACTGTAATCTTTTGTCGAAAATTCAAGTTCTTCATGATCATATTTCACTTGGCAACTTGTAGGCGTTCGGGAACAGCCTCAGAGGTGGCTGACGTGTGTGCGCAGTGCGGAGGAATTCTTTGGAATGACGATTGCTAGAAAATTTGTGGCACAGCACTTTGACGTGACAAGCAAAGTCAAGGTATCTGATGTCTTTTTTTGCAACGCAGCCTATTTTAATGGGTTTATACGCAGCATTTCTTTCAATTCCATGTCTGTAGTAGAATTCACATAAGTACTGCCGCAAACCTTATGACGAATAAAACGTCTCTTAGAAAGAATTACTTGTAACATGCACATTGCTAACAATGTCAAGGGAGACTAGAACGACAATTTTAGGCTTATTATCCGTCATCAGCTAGCCATACCCAACTTCAGGTGGTGCACCAAGACTCGATCCCGTCGTTATAATACTTCTTGTTGTCTCATCATACTGAAGCCACTGCCTTAACATACTGACTAAAAGTTTGATCTCTAGATTATGGTGACACCAAATGTGTCCCTTCATTGTCATCTTCTGGGCATTTTTAGGCAACCGAAATGATCAGACGTATAAAAATGGCCTTCAAGAGTTCCTTTTATCAGGTGGAGTGGATGGATGCAGAGGCGAAGGAAGGGGCTGAAAATAAGGTAAATCCTCGATTCAACCTGATTGGCTCTTCTTTCGCAGGTTGACATGATGGGCGACTCGATAGGCTATCCTGAAGATATCACGGACATTGAAAAGGAAAACCGCCCATTTTTGGCAGTGGTAGGTTGTGATCACTCCTTCTTGTCCCCTCCTGCAAACTTGGCGCCTCAGTTAACAACGGATATGAGACGCTTGAGATATTGCGCTCGTATAAATGATTTTCTAGTTATTTTAGAGTTTCAAAAAAGGGTATTTCTGTGATACAAAGATACCTCAATAATAACACACCATGTGAATCAAACCTATTATTTCTAATGTGTGAAATGTGAACCCATTATCACGCCTGATAGCATTTGTTGGTTTATATGACAGGGTGTAAAATATCTAGCTTCATTTACGAGGAGAAAGTGATAAATATCATATCTATAAGGCAGGACTGAGATCTGAACCTCAGGTGGCAACTTATTTCCAAATCGAATACTTTTGTTTTGAGCCCGCTTATACTGGGTTAATCTAGAACCCCATTCACTTGCATCTGCTGTGCTCCATTTATAGTTTTGTATACCCAAAATGCATTCTACTCTGATTAGATTAAGTTGTTTACACCATTCCAATGTGCCTTTACAACTTATAGCCAGTGGACTTGCTAAAATGGCCATTACGCTCAATACCTAAATTAAATTTTCTGAAAAGTGCTAGGGGATTTGTGCAGATCAGTTGAGTACATTGTGAAAACAGACTGCGGCCTCGATGGGATTTGAGTCTAGGAGAGCGAGAGGATGGCTTTAGTACAGCAAAAGCTCTAACCACCCGACCTGCGAGGCCCCACCCGAAGCCCCGAGTTTTATCACACTTGAGTTGAGTTGCTCATTAAATCTTATGAAATTTATGGTATCCACAACTCTGGTACTATAAGCTGCCTGCCCAAATGGAATTTCATATGCAATAAATCTTGAATCCGCCGAATAAATACAGACCCACTTAACTCATAGGGGATTTCTGGCACATTTGACTAAGCCATTTGTATTCTACCGGAATACATGTGGCAGTTTCTAAAATTCTAAAGAAGAAGTCCTTTAGTTCCGTCAGTTTTTGGTCTCATTTTCAACGACTAGACGTCTATAAATGGAACTTAATTAGGCTTCATATTTTCTATCAAAAATTTACGGACAAACGCTCGACGTGCAAACCGGATTTCCAGCCTGAGCGTACTAAGTTAAGGCACAAGTATTTGTGTTAGATACTTAACTCGAAATATACCATTTACGGACTCTATATATGTTCTACCTTCGCAACTAACGAGGTAGTATAACTGCTTCCTGAAAATGATATAGCATCTCTTTTGGACATTTGTCACCTAATTCTGATATGCTCGGGGGTCACTTTTTCACTTACGTAGCCTAAGGCCAACACACTTACTAAATTAGCATAAGGTGGATGCCATTAGTGAACTATTTACGCTATAAAACTGGGTGACTGCAGTCAGTATTGATGACTTTTCAGATAACCATACGACACGACGCGGAAATTACTTATGCAAAGGGTCAGGTTTATCTCTGCAGATCACCACAGCCTTGTCTATTAATGCATGGTTATATTAGTAACGTAGCCAATGATGCAAATTACAAACATCCTTTGAAGTCCTCTGAATATTTCAATTTGAGTAAAACCAGTCTTATGCGGAAATTTTCCAACACCACCTAGATGGGTTTATTAAATTACCCTCAAGTTATCGACAGGAAGTCTGTCTTTTCGTTCACGATTATTTTCTTTTGGAACGAGCTCTCCACTTGAGCGTTCACTAAAATGAGTGTTGTTCATGTCTGCTCCCTCAGATGGCAACATAGGGGATCTGAGGTCTTTGCAACTTCGGTTACCAGCTAGTTACGCCATCTTCACTTTTACATTGATGGATTATGTGCATAAGTATGATAATCCGATTATAAAAACCGATAAAATTCATTATGATACTGCTGAATTGAAAGTTAAAAGCAAAACCAAACTTTGGAAATTTGACATTAGTAAAACGATAAATACGTATCATACTATATATGTTAGCATTCACCCGATCACTGGAATAGCAAACTTCATGTAAAACTGACATTTATGGTTAGCCGGCGTTTTCATACTAATAATTGTGCACCGGTCACTGGTAGCGTCAGGAACCACGCTAAGAAAGACTTCCATTTACAGTTTTTTAAACATCTTTGACATTTTGACTAAGAAAAACCTGGTGTATGTCTAGCATGCATGCTTCTGTCTCAAGGCTTTTACTAGCTAACTGTCGTTTCCAGAAACGTTATACAAAAATTGGTTTTTTCATATCTTGCCGGTATGAACCGTTTTTTACCGACGCGGCAGGATATGCACCGAAATGTACTTGCACCTTGCAGAACTATACGTTTTTGCAGAGTTCTTTAGGGTATTTCATATTCTTTTCAACTTAGTGTAGATGAGCATTCCAAATTATGAATACTTTATATATAAGAGGTGTGAATTCCTGCCTAAACTGTGTTTAGCTGCCAATGTGCTCATTAAAGTGACTGAAAATTAGTCGCAAAACAACGAATAGTTTGAAAGTTATATTCTTAGAACAAAGGTGTGCATGCCATATAACCTTCAACGAATTGCTTACAAACGAAGCCTTCCGTCGGTCAGTTCCATCAAAACCATTTGCACACGGGTGTCGAATAGCCAAAGGCGAATCCCTTTCAGATAAAAATTGGTTTTCGGTAAGGACTAGTATGGCCACCTTATCCGAACCTCTCACAACACATGTCGCCTCGCGCCAGATTCTGAAGAACTTACGTTTACAATTAAGAGGGATGTTAGAGTTAAGTCTAGGGTTTGGTTTAAGGTCAGAGATGGAGTTAGGGTCATGATCATATTAAGGGTTACGGCTGGGGTTCATTTTAGATGCAGGTATCAAGTTTAGGGTTAGGCTAGGGTTGAGATTATGTTTATATTTTGGTTTTATCTTAAGGATAGTGTTAGAGTTAAAACGCAGGAATATTTACGATTCCTGAAATTGATCGCATGCGGCCATACAAGTCATTCTTACCAGGTTTTCTCCATGGGGCAATCTTTAAAGACATGTGGCAAAGTTTTAGCGAAAAACTGTCCTCATCTGTGCGTGCTTTTGAAACTAAACCACCATTGTTTTCTGTTCTTCATTCGCGTGTAAATTTCTTATGCATACATCAGTTGGCCTACTGCGCCCACTATTCACCGATTTTTAACGCTCTTTGTTTATACTAACAACAACAACAATGAGGTCATTGGTGCACGACGCTAGCACCGTTTTGAAGAAAGTCCATTTTCACTTCATTTTTCAACTAATTCAAGGACGATTCAGCATTGGCAATTGCAATGTTTGGCCATTATAAACCGTTTGTGATCTCACAGTTTTATGTTTGCCAAACTTTATTCACAGTGAATGGAGGATTTTTTTTCAGAAGATAAATTGGTGAACATACGTTTGTTTTCGATAAATTCTCGTCA